TGTGCTTTGGGGAGGGGGGGAGAGAGCCCCGGCCCCGGGCGCACGGCGCTTGGGGGAGGGGGAGGAGAGAGCACCAGCACCGGCCCTGGACGCGCGGCGCTTGAGGGGAGAGCGCCGGCCCCGGAATGCGGCTATGGGGGGGGCCCTGCCCCGCCCGGGCGCCCAGCGGGCGAACGACCACGCCCCCTGGCGCCCGGCAACCCCAAATGGTTGGGGACCACTGGTCTAGACCATCCCTGATAGACATTTATCTAACCTACTCTTAAATATCTCCAGTGATGGAGATTCCACAACCTCCCTGGGCAATTTATTCCAGTGTTTGACCACCCTGACGGTTAAGAACTTTTTCCTAATGTCCAACCTAAAGCTCCCTTGCTGCAGTTTAAGCCCATTGCTTCTTGGCCTGTCCTTAGAGACCAAGATGAACAAGTTTTCTCCCTCCTCCTTATCATACCCTGTTAGATACTTGAAAACTGCTCTCATGTCCCCCCTCAATCTTCTCTTTTCCAAACTAAACAAACCCAATTCTTTCTGTCTTCTTTCATAGCTCATGTTCTCTAGACCTTTCATCATTCTTATTGCTCCAACTGAGGCCTAATCAGCGCAGAGCAGAGCGGAAGAATGACTTCTCGTGTCTTACTCACAACACACCTATTAATGCGTCCTAGGATCTGGACGCATTTGCTTCTCTGGACCCTCTCCAATTTCTCCACATCTTTCTTGAAATGGGGTGCCCAGAACTGGACACAGTCCTCCAACTGAGGCCTAACCAGCGCAGAGTAGAGAGGGAAATTCAAATCTGAGCTTCTTTTGCAATGTCGCTCAGCTGCATTTGCATTCCTCTCTCGAAAGAGGAGTGTAGGGTAGACATGCCCATATTGAAAGTGATCTTCCAACCCGCTCTCCGAAACAACACTCGTCAGGATGAAATGGTTCAAAGGGGCTTAGATCAGCATCTAAATCCTCAACAGTTCTGATTGGCTTGCACTGAAAATATTCTGCTTGTTGGAATAAAACTCATGAATCCCCTTGGGCTGCATGAATCAAGGATTTGGTCCAGCAAAGACAGACAATTGAGGCCACAAACTTTAATTTATTTGCGAGTGAAACCCTGGGAGTATACGTTTCTGTGGAGGGCGACAGATGCCCATCTGATGCTAGATCAGCTGAAATTGCATTCTGTTTCCATAATATATACCCGTGTCGATATTTATATTGATATAAGCATCCGTACACTTACAGATATTTTAAGGTGGCCTTTACCCTAAAAAGATGGATGAAATTTCACACACGGATGCTCCCAACCCCCTTTGGACTTCCATCGTTTGTTTCCCAAAAGACAGATCCATGTAGAATCTTAATAGGCAGCAGTTTAAAACAAACCAAAGGAAGTTTTTCTTCATTCAGTGCATAGTCAACCTGTGGAACTCCTTGCCAGAGGATGTGGTAAAGGCTAGAACTTTAACAGGGTTCCAAAAAGAGCTAGATAGATTCCTGGAGGTTAGGTCCAATCGATGGCTATTAGCCAGGATGGGTAGGAATTGTGTCCTTAGCCTCTGTTTTTCTGGAGTTGGTGGGATCACGGGAGGATTAACTGTTTCTGATCCCTTCCTTTGGGGCATCTGGTATTGGCCACTGTTGGCAGACAGGACACTGGGTTGGATGGACTTTGGTCAGACCTGATCTGGCCGTTCTTATGTTCTCCACCCACTGAGATGGCAAAATATTTGTACCTGTGTTTCAGAGACATAACGAAAACAGAGGGTCCTCTTCAGTGGGCAATCAACATCTTTGCTGTCAGTGGGAGAGGAAACAACCCAGAATTTACAAAAGATGTTAATCGCCTTGTAGAAATTCAGCACGAGTGTGCATGTCTGGATGAAAGAGGCCGAGGGCTTTGCCTGAAAAGTGTGTCTGGGAGAAGGCCCACAGATGTTCCCGAAAGAATGTCTCTTACAATATAAAGCTTTGCATAAACAAATTGGCATTAAAAGACAGAAAGTTTGTGTGTGTGTGTGTGTGTGTGTGCAAAATAAGAAAGAAAGTTTGTGTGTGTAGAAAGAAAGTCTGTGTGTTTTGTGTCTGTGGAAAGAAAGAAAGAAAGAAAGAAAGAAAGAAAGAAAGAAAGAAAGAACCAACCAACCAACCAACCAACCAACCCACCCTGTTCTCAAGGAGTAAAATGGGCCCTGTCTAAAGAACTCTATCACTTCCTCCCTACTTTCCTATAGCCTAAACTTTGCACTACCAGATTCTGTGCTTGTTTCTGAAGGTGACCACTTTCCCAATCGCTTTTCTCAGGGACTCTTTCACCTCCTTGTTCCTCAGACTGTAGATAATGGGGTTGATCATGGGATTCAGGACTGTGTAGAAGAGCGAGAACACTTTGTGGAGGACGGTGGAAGTGGTGAGTGATGGAAACACATAGACAATGATGAGGCTGATGTATATAATCGTCACCACCATGAGATGGGAGGAGCAGGTGGAAAAGGCCTTTTGCCTCCCGGTGGAGGACGGGATTCTCAGGATGGTGGTGATGATGCAAACATAGGAAGCCAGGGTCAGTAACAAAGGCACAACCGTCCCTATGGCAGAGATCGTTAACGTCGCCAATTGTAGGGTCCAGGCGGCATCACAGGACAACCTTATCATGGGGGAAAAATCACAGAAGTAATGGTCAATTTCTTTGGCATTACAGAACGTTAACGGGAACAAGAAACTATTCAATACGCCGACCACCAGAAAACTGTACAGCCAGGAGCCCGCCACTAGCTGGCAACACACCCGGCCGTTCATCAGGGCGGCGTATCGGAGAGGGTGGCATATCGCTAGATACCGGTCGTAAGACATGGCCGCCAGCAGCAGATTTTCAGCCATTGCTATGATGGAAAAGAAATAGGTTTGTACCAGGCACCTCTTCACCGAGACGGTTCTGTCCCCAGTGAGGAGACTGGCCAGCAGCCGGGGCAGGATGGTGGAGCTGTAGCAGGTCTCCAGGCAGGACAGGTTCCCCACAAAGAAGTACATGGGGGTGCGAAGCTGCGGATCCGTCACAACTAGCACAACGATGAGGATGTTGCCGGCAACAGTCACAATATAGATCACTAAAAACACGAGGAAAAGAAGGGGTTGCAGGTCACCGACATCCCCAAATCCTAAGAGGATGAATTCCATAATGAGGGTCTGATTTCTCCTCTCCGCCTTCTCCATAGCATGGATCTAGAAACACAAAAGCATGAGAAATTGATGTAGCCGTTACAGTGGACTAAACCCCAAGGTTAGGTTCTAGGACCGGTTTTGTTCAATATCTTTATTAATGACCCAGATGAGGGGATGGATTGCATCTTCAGCAAGTTTGCAGAAGATACTAAGCTAGGAGGAGAGGTAGATACACTTAAGGGCGGAGATAGGGTCCAGAGTGACTTAGACAAATTGGAGGATTTGGCCACAAGAAATCTGATGAGGTTCAACAAGGACAAGTGTAGAGTCCTGCACTCGAGATGGAAGAATCCCAAGAATTGTTACAGGCTGGGGACCAACCAGCTAAGTAGCAGTTCTGCAGAAAAGGACGTGGGGGTTACAGTGGATGAGAAGCTGGAGATGAGTCAATAGTGTGCAAGAAGGCTAATGGCATCTCAGGGTGCATTAGGAGACGCATTGCCAGCAGATCCAGAGAAGTGATTATTCCCCTTTATTCAGCTCTTGTGAGGCCACATCTGGAGTACTGTGTCCAGTTCTGGGCCCCCCACTACAAAAAGGATGTGGATGCATTGGAGAGGGTCCAGCGGAGGGCAACCAAAATGATTAGTTTAGTCTGCAGAAGCGAAGAGTGAGGGGGGATTTGATAGCAACCTTCAACTTCCTGAAGGGAGGTTCCAAAGAGGATGGAGAGAGACTGTTCTCAGTGGTGGCAGATGGCAGAACAAGGAGCAATGGTCTCAAGTTGTGGTGGGAGAGGTCCAGGTTGGATATTAGGAAAAACTATTAGGAGGGTGGTGAAGTACTGGAATGGGTTACCTAGGGAAGTAGTGGAGTCTCCATCCCTAGAGATGTTTAAGTCTCGTCTTGACAAAGCCCTGGCCGGGTTGATTTAGGTGGGATTGGTCCTGCCTAGGGCAGAGGGCTGGACTTGATGACCTTCTGAGTTCTCTTCCAGCTGTATGTTTCTATGATTCTATGATTCTATAAACATGGATTAGGCAACCTGACACATGTATCTCTGGACTGGAAATGTGCAATTGTCAATAAATGGGAAGACTTATCTCATTAAGAGGTTAAAGCTTCCAATATACATGAACCAAGAGCAAGACCAATATAGATGAACCTACTGAATTACAGAAATGTTCCATTCAGCTCTCTTACACGTTCAAAAAAGATTATGGGACTGGGATTTATCAAGTATCAGGAACACACCAGTGTCATAGGAACAAACCTGTATGACATTAAAAAAAAAAGATCAATAGATCGGAAAGGAAAGATACTTAGAGTTCCACCATGGGTTCTTCTACTCTACAGCTAGCAGCTGAAATTCTCAGATGGGGCAAGAGGGGAATCTAACACCATAGTAAGACATGCAAGCAAAATTTTAAAAATGAAAACTCATTAGCCAAGCAGGCTAACGGCGTATTGGGGTACAATAGCAGGAACATTGCCAGCAGAACTAGGGAAATGATTGTTCCCCTTTATTCGTCACCGGGGAGGCTACATCTGGAGTATAGAAAGGATGTGGACGCATTGGAGAGAGTCCAGTGGAGGGTGACCAAAATGATTTGGGGGCTGGAGCACAGGACCTATGAGGAGAGGCTGAGGGATTTTTGCTTGTTTAGCCTTCAGAAGAGCAAGGGGGGATTTGGTAGCAGCCTTCAAGTCCCTGAAGGCAGGGTCCAAAGAGGATGGAGAGATGATGAATAGGTGACAGAAGGAGGATCAATGGTCTCAAATTTCAATGGGGGAGGTCTAGGTTGGAGATTTGGAAAAACGATTTCCCTAGGAGGGTGGGGAAGCGCTGAGATGGGTTCCCAAGGGACGGGGTGGAATCTCCTTCCCTAGAGGTGTTGAAGTCCCAGCTTGACCAAACCCTGGCTGGGCTGATTGAGTTGGGATTGGTTCTGCTTGTAGCCAGACAGGAACTCCCCCGTAACATCCATCTTTGCTTGCCTGGAGCACGCAGGGCACACAGAGCAGTAAAAGCCTTGAACAGAAGGCCCGGATATGGCAGGCTCAGTGACCGTGAATGGCTGTAAACAGAGATACGCCAATTGCTGACCACGAGGCTGCCAAGGAGTGCCCTTGACTAAATCCCATATTGATACAAACATACAGCCGTCCGCGGGGGGAGGAATCTCTCGCCCAGTAAAAAAATGTCCAAATTAGTTATCTCTCTTGCAAGTGTAAATTAAGTTGAAACTTCCTTGTAAGAACTGGCGTCACAAAAACAGACCAGTACAATTTGGCATCTTAGATAAGAAAGAGGATATGAGTCCCTATGGGTATAAAGATGGGTCCAGCAGCACATTTACTCGGAGTGTCAATCTACCATCTATCTGCTGGTCGGGTTAGGTGTTTGACCTCCCGAGGTTCCACGGGGACGCCCACCTCATATTTGTCTTTCCTAGGAGTTGAGGGACCGGCCCTGGCTTGACCCGCTGGAGTCGAGAAGCACAGAAGGGGGTAAAAATTATACCTGGATGTGGTCCTTTGTCTTAAGTGTACACATAGATTTAGAGCTCTTTAAAGGTTAAGCTGTCACTTGGTACGATTATTTCTATTTTCTATCTTTATTTTCTTTGTAACCATTTTTAAGATCTATATTTGCTAGCAGTTAAGAAAGAGAGCAATAGCCATTGTAACCATATGATTTATAAGCTTCTTTAATAAACCTGTAACTGTTTAAGCTTTAACCTGACTCCTTCAGTTGCTGTAACAGAACCAAGCACAATTTAAAAGAACTTCAGCCGGTCATAAAGGGACAGATATAGGGAGAGCTTGGGCGTTTGGATTTGTGTCACACCCAGGTGGCAAAATTCAGTGTCACTCCCAGGTGACAGATCCGTTGGGGCATCTCTCAGTCTTCCCTAGACTGCCCGCTGCAAAGGGATCCTGTATCCTAGTAGCTGAAATCTGAGATCTAATAAGCTCTTCCTAGTAACTCAGGGCATCTGTCAGCCTGTTGGCTGCCCTCTCTGACGGGACCCTGGTCCTAGCGGTAAAGGCACGGACGTTAAACCTTTTCTCGGTAACACACACACACACACAAACACACACACTGCCCTGACGGTCGGCTGACACTGCTTTGGGCTGGGGGCTGAACTCATTGACTCCTGAGGTCTCTGCCAGCCCTGGAGTTCTGTGACTCTCTGACTATCTCTGTGATAAGAACACACTGGTGAAAAGAGAGGAATTACACCCAAAATTAATTTGGCCCATGCTGCTGAGAGAAATTGGGAAGTCTCTTTTTTTATCAAGAAGAGAGAATATGCCTGGAGAAACATGAATAACTGAAGGAAAAATGAAGCACTGTATAGACCTACTCAGATGACTATTTGGACAGAGGAAAGAATGAGAGCGAGAGAGAGGTATTTCTCCATTTTACAAGCAACAAAATACAGATCCTTGCTGTTAAACCAAAAGCAGCAGAGAAAATAACTCTGCCATCTCTTCCTTTTTCCTCTCCTGCATGTTTCTTGCCACAGCCCACCTTCTGATCTCTTCATCCACCGACTTACAATGCACCCCTATGAATTGTGTCTACACCAGGCGTTGCTACAGTGCAAGATCAGGGTATGACTGAACAATGAAAATGCTGGAAAAAACCCACGTACACAGTGAGGAAAGAAAACATTGGGTGAAAAATAAAACACACACACAACGCGACAAGAAACAAGAAACATTTCTGGAAGTTAGGGCCATCGGTGACTATTAGCCAGGATGGGCAGAAATGGTGTCCCTAGCCTCTGTTTGGCAGAAGCTGAAAATCGATGACAGGGAATGGGTCACTCAATGATAGAATCCCAGAATCCCAGACTGGAAGAGTCATCATTCCAGACCACTGCCCAAAGCAGGACCAACCCCAACTCAATCATTCCAGTCAAGCCGGGACTTAAACACCTCTAGGGATGGAGATTCCACCCCCTCCCTAGGGAATCCATCCCAGTGCTTCCCTTCCGCCTCGGGAAATGGTTTTTCCTCATCTCCAACCTAGACCTCCCCTACTGCAACATCAGACCGTTGCTCCTTGTTCTGCCACCTGTCACCATGTCTCTTCATCCTCTTTGGAACCTGCCTTCAGGGAGTTGGAGGCTGCTATCCAATCCCCCCTCACTCTTCTGAAGGCTAAACAAGCCCAAATCCCTCAGTCTCTCCATTGTTCCTCATTCTGCCATCTGCCACCACTGGGAACAGCTTCTCTCCAGCCTCTTTGGAACCCCCCTTCAGGTCGATGATGGCTGCTGTCAACTCTTCTGTTCATTCCCTCTAAAGCTCCTGCCATTGGCCACTATGCGCTAGATGGACCTTTGGTCTCACCCAATATGGGCGCTCTTATGTTCTACACCTGAGGGCCCTTCGTTGTTCTTTTTCGGGCAGATTTTCCTTGAACCCATCTGTGAGAGGTTCCCCCAGGTGCTAACAGGAATTGGGGTTCCACTCAACCCTCTAACCCATCAGCCTGGGCTCTCTCTCACACTCTGCTGCCGTGGACAGTTGCTGATTGGCTTCTGGTCCTGCCCATCCTGCAGCATTCACACAGGCAGGGACACACCCAGCTGCGGGTACAAACAGGATCTCTGATCACCCTCTGCATGAACCAACAACAGAGGAGCTAGAGTGAAGTTCATCCCCCAGCTTCCCAGCCTAGGACTCCAGAGCTGCCCTGCTCTGTCTTGGTCAAAACACTGAGCCAGGAGACGTTGGTACTTGGTTCATCTTCTCCCTCAATGTGGAGAGGAACATGCATCCTTGTGCTAACGAAGCTGAGATTCCTCCCTCTCCCTCTCCCTCTCCCCTCCCCCCAGCTGTGTCTAGATGCCCTTTGGAATTTGCGTACCTTTTTCCGATTGTTGCGGCTTTCCTGAAATTCGGGCCAGCGAAACTGTGCCAAATGTCGGAAAAAACTCCTCTTTCGGAAGAACCCTTCTTCCTCGTGGAAGGAGGAAGACAGCTTCTGAAAGAGCATGTCTGCTCTCCCGCAAAAAATGTCG